TTTAGGAAATACAGTATGCAGCATTTACTATAGGACTGATTCATGGATGTGGACTTTGCTCCAAAAAAATAATATTAGATGTACATTATCCTAAAATCTGTAAGTGGGCAATGGCTCCTCAATGTGTATGACGAATCGAACAAGCTGCCCTGTCAAAAAATACTTAAACTGTCCTATACTTGTGTAATGGTATTATAGTGTTTAGTGTTTATTGTTATTTGTTTGCTTGAGGAATTTATTTGAAAGCTGCACATTCTGTCACATTCGAATGGCTTTCTGTGAAACTCAATTTCTTAACACATTAATCCGCTGTGCTATTTGAGAAATTTTAGTAGCAGTGGAGCTAGACATGAACAATTAGCTCAAAATTAGAGGACGAAAGAGTTAACAGCTCCAGTTAGAGCATGATGCATAGAAATGCATGAACATAATACAGTTATTGAAGCAATCTCAGTTGAGCAGTGGTCATAACATTGCGCTGGTACTCTGTAATTACTTTGCAAAGCTTTGACCAGCATTCACAACAATGAAACAATAGCATTGCTGTGAATTAATGAAATGCTGTTTTATAGTGTTTGCATATTTTTTTTAAACTGTCCCTGGTGGTAAGCTTGAAATCGAAACTGCAGCTGTGAGGGAAAAAACACTGATTCTACATCTGTGTTGTAGACGAAGGGCCGTATCAAAGTTCAGGTAGACATTTCATGTGGTAATTGTTTGGATAACACTTGGCTAAAATGTAATTCAAACACATTACAAGTATCATCAGACATTTAGATACATCTCAGAAGTATTTCATTGGTTATGTGATGTTGCACCATACAATTTCAGTCAAGGGAGAAAATGAAGTCAAAAAAGAAAAAAAAAGAAAGTGTGAAAATCTTGGCTCAACTTGTCATCAGCCTACGTGTGCTTGTTGATGATTTTCACTGACTGCTATAAAGGCAAATCAATTAAATCTTGAGACTGTGAGGTGTTTAATGCTGCTTCTCCTGAAGTGTATTTGATTTAGGTGCATTATTTTCCTTATGGGTAAATTGCTTCACAACATTATAGGCTAACACTTGAATGTAATAAGAGACACAGCAATCTAAATAACTCAGATTTAATCAGGTAACGCAACATTGTTGGCCAGAGATGAATATTCAGTTACCTAAAAGAATATTTTTTAATTGTGCAGATCAAAGGGAAGCAAGACACCGCAGCATTAGCTGAGGTGTAATTTATTTATGTATGTATTTCAGAAAAGTTTGATTGATTACAGTGAGTTGTAACTGTACATTGTTTTGTCAGAGGAGTGAAATGAACGTACTGAGTCTTTATCGAACACACCTTCAATTATCACTCGTCAGATCAACACTTCATCTTTTGATTATTGCTTAAAATTCCCCAGTGTGCCTGCTACACATTTACAGTGTGCACTAAATTACATTACATTAGATCACATATCCTAACCATACTATTAAAGCATGATTTCTGGTAGTTTATATGCTAATGCACTTGGGATAAATGGATGATTGAAATTAATAATTACAATGTTGGACAGTGATCGTTAAGCAGTAGAGGTTTCAAACAAACTCAAACACAAATTACTATTAATTAGGTATAACACAAAACACTCTTGATAAGTGCAAATCTGCACCAGATTCATCAAGAAGCTGTATGCACATGCATGGACATGAGCTCTTCACAATGCCCCGTGGCCCTTTTGTCTCCAGATTTAAATGTACCAAGGGCCTTGAATATATGCTTGTAGTGTGTTGTAAGCAGTATTTGCATATTCAAGATGTATATTATTCACATGGCTGATACTGCTCCTTTCATAAGCATGCCTCTTATGTCTGTTCTCAACCCCATCCCCCATCCTCACCATTTCACCCCCCACCCCCACCCCCCCCCTTTGATTAACTAATGTCCAATTCGATGCAGCGTATTTCATGAGCTCGTCACCTTATACAGGCAGCTGATTAACCTGGAGTCTGGCTGGTGAAGTTGCAACCATCGTCTCTCTGTCTTAAATTTTTATATTTTTTTTGTGCCGCCCCCCCCCCTCCCCTCCCCGATCCCCGCTCCTCCCTCCCCTTCCTCGCCTCTACCTCAGCACACCTCCCACCCGCTCCTCAGTCTTTGTTGTGGCGGCAGCAGCAGAGCATGCATTGCATTGGCGGTCTGAAGCATTGTGTCTGATTTCCAGCAGACAAACTGACCTCTGGGGATTTATTGACAGCAAACTCCACAGAGGCAGACACAGAGCTGGGAGCATGGAGGCAGCCAGAGAGGGGCGGAGGGTGTTGGGGAAGGTTCATAGGGAGGGAGGAAGAGGAGGGGGCACAGACGGAGAGACAGACAGATGGAAGGAAAGACGGCGAGTGAGTTTCAGCGTGATGAAACAGGAAACAGGTAGAGACACACTGAGAAACAGATCAATATGAGGGAGGAGGTACACGCCCCAAATTTAGTGCAATTTAAAAATTTGTTTTTTTTTTCGTGGAGCGTTAGGAAGTGAAAGAAAATGGCCGCCTCCTACAAGGATCTAATTAATTTTGAAGGATCATCAGCCCCTTTAGTCCAAGGCAGGGTACAGGAGGGAGGGAGGGAGGGAGACAGACCCCTGGGCTGATTAGAATTCACTGCAGGTAGGCGCTGGCTGCTGCTCACCCACTGTGTCACGGCTAAAATGGAATCACTGTTGTGAGTGGCAGTCTGGGCAACTGAAGCCTGCTTCCCTTGGCCTGCTCCTTTGTTGCTAGCATTCACCTCACTTTACCCCTTAGGCAGGTGGATTTACATGTCTGGATGGGCAAGGGAAGCCAGAGAGGGAACATATATGTTTGCATTCAAAAAGTAGCATCCGAATACAGTTACCACTCAAACTAACACTGCAAGCAAAGGAACAGGGTCAAATATTTGTCACTGTAATGTCTTCAGGCATTTTGGCACGTGTGTGTGTGTGTGTGTGTGGTTTTCACTTTGACTAAGTCAATTGTGAAATATTGCAGTGACAGTGGTGAGGTTAAGGCAAGGGTTACACCTACAGTAGGTTTACAGTTTGAGTTAGATCTAGTTTTTAAGTGAGGTATTAGAACAAGGCACATTTTTGGGGCTCAGGCTGATATTGAGGGCTTGAATAAAAGTGTTAATGGTTTATTTTGGGCAATTGTAGGTTAGTGTTGGAGTTTTAGAGAAAATGGTTTCATTTTAGATTTAGGGGTTAAGGATTTCAGTATAAATACAATATCTGTCCTGAACAAGATGGAAGAACAAACCTGTGTGTGTGTGTGTGTGTGTGTGTGTGTGTGTGTGTGTGTGTGTGTGTGTGCGCGCGCGCGTGTGTGTGTGTGTTTTGTAAGAATGATCTGTCTCAGCATCGAGTGATCAACCACTGCTGCTAAACACGCTATTACTTGTCTATACATAATAATTGAATTTGTTAGTTGATGAACATTTCAAGAAAAGAAGCAAACATCTGACTGTCCGCAGCACTTCTCACACTGAAGCCTACGGACACAATGCAGTCTGTGGACATAGCTATCTCAGTTTATTACTTTTACACTTTAACTCTGGCTTTCCCTTAGTTATTCTGCTTTTCTGTACTAAACTATGAAAAAATCATGATCTTATATGACTATTTTCTAGGCTTATTTATGGACAAATTTTGTATCTGTTACCTTGGCAAAGCAAATTCTTGTTCCGTCCTCTATCAGCATCTGTGAAAAAAAGGAAAAGTGCAGAGGTCACTTGCTTAAAATCAAATATTTTTCATCCATATTTTTACCTCAGTATTTCAAAGTGACAGGCATGTTCCTTGAAAGTACTTGAGATTTATGAAAGAATAATATGTGTCAACAAAAACGTGCAAGTCTGGTCAAATCTTACCCCCGTTCTGTTCATTCAGAAACACACTGTAGTTACTGGCATTTCACAGAGCACTTGATGTTCGTGTTGTAGGCAGCGTGACAGCTACTAAACGTTTTTTCACCCCTTTTCCAAAAAAAATATTGAAGAGTCACGATTGTAATTATGATCTAAACTCCTGTTAATGATTAATATTCACACCCCAACATTCACAACATTTTCCTTATAGTTTTGAAGCTTTATTGGTTGAAATATTTGAAAGCACTATGACCAGTGTGGGACTAATATGTGAGAAATTGTTTGAAAAGGGCATTTTGTATTGGTTCAGTTCATTTTTTTTCAGTCTGCCTGACCTTAAATGATCCCATGAGTATCTGACTTTAATGTGGTCAGTTTTACATAATTGTGTTCCCAGTTTTGAGGTCAGACTTTTGCATTCTAATATGTGTGTACAGTATAAGAGCAATTGTGTGAGGCTTTTTTTTTTTATCATCAGCTCATCACATGCTTAATGTCATTGAATGCCTTTCTTGTGTTTTTAAATGAATGCCTTGTGTGTTTAATATTTCTTTTCTATTTTTGCAACTACTCATGTCCGCTCTATGTCTGTATTGGACATTGTCTTGTTTAATTTGTGGATTTGAAAATGAAAACAAACACACATACGTCCCCGCACACACACACACACACACACACACACACACACACACACACACACACACACACACACACACACACACACACACACACACACACACACACACACATACAAACACTTCATGGTGAGTGTGCGTGAGACCTTTTCTGAAATATTTAATCTGTGCAAATTTATGAGGATTCGAGTTCGTTTTTCTTTGGAAGGGTGTGGTTTTGTTGCCCAGCGGCTCAGATAACTGCTGAGAGAAAAAGTGGCTCCAACACCAATGTTATTTTCAACCTTGATTTGTAATTGGTGGCCATGTGCACACAGGAACGTCCATTCGTCTCGCTTTGGAAACTCTTCACACATCTGTTGCAGCACGCCGGTGGCAGATATTCATGTTACTGTGGCTCCTGGTTCATTAAGGGAGTGGCAATATCGACGAGGCAGTATGTGGCATTAAGATTTGTCTTTGTCTTTTCTCTCCCCCTCCAAACACTGGCAGAGCAACACATGATTTGGACAGAGAGGACTGACAGCCTTGCCTAGCACCCGGCCTCTGATCAGCCATCTCCACCAGCAAACTGAAGCTTGACCCGCACTTCATCACCAGCCACACAAGCATCTTCGTAACAAAACGTCATCTGACTGTGAGTACTGGACCGTTTCAGCTTTTTTTCCCCCTTCATGTTTCAGTTAGAAATAACTTAGCTTGAAATGAGCATTAATACTTTGTGCTAACACTGTCACTCTTCTTCTGTGAGACATTTTCGCATTTTCTACTTCATTTGGATAAACAAATCTACTACTGTCAAATATGGTTTTATTATTAGTAACACTGTTAAATTCATTTCTATTGAATGTATAAGTGCATTAAAAATTATAAAGCATTTTTCCAACTGTTCAAGTTTTTTTTCCTGTTTATACAGTTGTTCAATTCTGTGTTGATTCTGACATTTCATCACCAATATATTTTCATAAATGCATTCATTATTCATTGAGTGACATAGTGTAAATTAATTATATATATCTACTTATATATCTGTATATATTGTACAGTTTCCAAGATAAAAATTAAGACAGTTTCCTTGATATAAAACAAAAGTGCTATGTTTAATAATCACTCACATAAGGTCGAATGCTTTACTTAAATTATTCTCAAGCATGTTTGTATGCAAAAGCAATTATGAAAACCCACAATTTGCATAATTCCTATGTTAACTACCTATCTAATTTGGATTAAGATTCTCATTTCTTTTGACATCTAACTGGGAAGAAAAGCATCTTAAGTTATCTTACACACTGATCAGCCGGGTCACATCTAGTGTATTCCTAGGATAGTTAGGAAGCGCCATCACAGTGAACACATGGCTAACAAAAGAGGCCTGTTGTCCTCTGAGCCCAGTGCACCACCTAATGGTGGTTGGAGGAATTTCAGACATGAACACAGAGAAACTTGTAGTAATTAAATGGGAACCATCTTAATTGTCTTTCACCGTGGCATTGTGGATTTTTTTAAACTACGAATGAAGAGAGAAATTTAGCTCAGATGTTGACGTTATTTGATTCTTATCTTAGTATTATGAGACTTAGAATTACCACATCTGTATTATCATTTCAGGAATCCCCCAGTGAACACTCATATGTTCTGTTCATAATAAGAACCATAGTATTTATCATGTATTTAAATTAACTGTAGTAATTGTGATTGTGTATTCTAGCATTTAGCCTGTAAAAATGTTTTTTTTTCCTTCTTCTCTTTTGTGATTCATTTGCTCATAACTGTTATATTACATAGTGTATATTTCATTATTCAATTATAATACTGTAATCTACTAATGGAACTATATTGTTGCTTTATGTGAAAAAATACTGTTGTGTTTAAGCCAGTTGAATAATGTGGTGTCAGAGTTTTTAAGTCAGGTGTGTTGCTCGCTGCTTGCAGGTGACATCAGTTGCAAGGGGATGACCGAGCGCATTCATAACATCAATCTTCACAACTTCAGCAATTCTGTACTTGAGACCCTCAATGAGCAGCGCAACCGTGGGCACTTCTGTGACGTGACTGTTCGGATCCATGGAAGTATGCTGCGAGCTCACCGGTGCGTGCTGGCTGCTGGAAGCCCCTTCTTTCAGGACAAGCTGCTCTTGGGCTACAGCGACATTGAGATCCCTTCTGTGGTCTCAGTGCAATCCATCCAAAAGCTGATTGACTTTATGTACAGTGGGATTCTGCGGGTATCTCAATCAGAGGCCCTGCAGATCCTTACTGCTGCCAGCATCCTACAGATCAAGACCGTCATTGATGAGTGTACCCGCATCGTGTCCCAGAATGTGGGCTTGGCTGGGCCAGGGGGATTCCCTGTTATACCAGGAGATTCTGGTCAGGAAACACCCCGTGGCACTCCTGAGTCTGGCACCTCTGGGCCCAGCAGCGACGCAGAGTCAGGTTATATGCAAGCAACATCACAGCAAAGCATGGATCGTGCATACACATCACTGTACACCTACCCTGGCCTGAACGGCAACCGCGAGCGCCCCCTTTACATTAACCCTCTGTCGGCAAATTACGATTCAACTCTCAGCACTCAGAAGGACCAGCAATCTCAAGATCCGCCCTGGATAAACCGAATCCAGGAGAGATCTCAGCAGGTCGATCGCTTCATCTCCACAGCAGAGTCCACTCACTGCCGCAAGCAACCCCGACCGGTACGCATACAAACAGGAGGGATGCACATAAAGCAGGAGGCTGAAGATGAGTACAGCTGCTACGATAATTTGGGGGACTGCCAAGATGACACTGACCATACAGAGGGTGTAGAGAGTGAATCCAAGGTTGAAAGTTTTGACTCAGGGGTGAGCTCCTCCATCAGCACTGAGCCAGATGCTATGGAACAGCAGCCGTACCTGACGGGCTTTAGCCAAGACGGGAGCAGGGAAGGGCAGCAAGGTGAAGGAGCTCCAGTGCAGATAGAGGTCAATGACTCGTCCCCAGAGCAAGTGCAAGAGACAGAGGACGGGGACACATCCCACAGCACTAGTGACAGTAGCATGATGCAGCCCCTGCCAAACTCAGTCATGTCCCAGTCCCTGCCAAGTGCCCCGCACTACATGCGCCAGGCAGAATCACACACCAGCAATCTGAGGATGCCGCTCACCGTGACCAGCAATTCCCAAGTGATGGGCACTGCTGGAAGCACCTTCCTGCCCACACTCTTTCCTACACAGCCGGCTAGAGACAACAAGCCTTTCCTTTACCTTCCTGGCCAGCAGCAACCACAGTTTGTGGCAGTGCCGCCCCCTGCAATGCCATCATTCCCGAACCCCATGTCGGTACCACAAGCGCCAGCTCAGCAGCAACAGCCTGCAGGAGGAATTGGTCAGGGGGAAAAGAAGCCCTATGAATGCACTCTCTGCAGTAAAACCTTTACTGCAAAACAGAACTACGTCAAACACATGTTTGTCCATACTGGTAAGTCAAAATGTCTTATATGTAGTAAAGAATGTTTTTTTAAGACACCAAGCTCAGTTAAATGATTGTATTATCCACTGTTGATGTAGATAGTAGTATAGGCTCTGACATCACATGGATTATGTTTTGAAGGCTTAAAAAAGGTGAAAAGGTGAAACTTGAAAAGAGGTGAAAACTGGTATTCATTTTCATTAATGCTATTATTGCAGTGACAACATACTGCATACTATAGATATACCACAAAGGTTGACGTTCTAGTTTGCTCACACTGAGGAAGTGACAATATAAAATACACACATTGATGTCAACATTCTTTGAATGGTGTTTTCCTCAGCTGTGTAACCGTCTGTGTTTAATGGAATCAATGTTGAAACAAAGCTTTAACAACTTTAGATGATGAAAAATGATTTCGCTATTTGTTTGTTAAATTTATTTGGCAGTAGATCTCCAAATTTACATTTACCTTTGACTGATGCCCATCTTTATCCTTTCCCTCTAGATAGAGATAGATAGATAGATAGATAGATAGATAGATAGATAGATAGATAGATACTTAATTTATCCCCTAGGGGAACGTCATGTGTCCAGTAGCTCATTCGTAATAGAAATAATAATAGTTTATAATAGTATTAATATTATATATTATATAGTATTATATATTATATTAGTATATCTAGAACAAATTAGTGTTAAGTAATGACGATTAGTACCTAGAACATACAGTATATAGTACTTTATAGTATGTTAGCTAGGATTTTATACTGGAAAAGTACAAAAAGACTCAAAATCTACATTCTGTAGGTCACAGCTGAGCATCTTTATCATTTGACTTACAATGTCAGTAGATTGCTCGTGCAGCACATCATTAAACTGTGCACTGCTTTCATCCAGCACTGACAGCCTTATCAATCATAAACTGAAGAAATTATCATCACAGAAAGAATTAGATATCATATAATTAGATGATCTCATAAAAATTGCCTGCTCAAATAGCCATTATTATTCATTAGAAACCATTGCTTGTTCAGAACCACCTCATATATGAAGGCTATTCAAAACTAAATTTCCTGTTTTATTCACACAATTGTGTGGAGCAGTGTGATGACATATTGAGAAGGAAAGTCGCTGATTGATCAATCCCATGGACTTGATCTGAATGGATTACCTTTACTGAATCTTGTAAAGAATATTGTTTAAAAATTATAGCAGTATGATTTAACGTAGTATTTTATTTATGCCCCTTTGAGATTACCATAAATATAACCTATCTGCAACATAAATTGTTTTTATTTGAGTAAATAAAAGGTAATCAGGAGGTACTTTGGCAAATGTAATAGTCACACGGTGCCTCAGTGCAAGATGAAGGCAAAAAAAACTCCAACTCAACAGTCAGTGCAAATGAATGAAAATTCCTAAAAATATGGATTTTTGCATTATAGAGCTGGAGCAATTAATTAGTGTATTAGTCAATCAGCTGATAATTAATGAATGTCTTTTTTTTTTACTTTTGGCCTGACAGAACAAGGGGCTGTGGGAAATTATAACTTATGTAATAATTTTCCACTATTTTCTAATATTTTACAGACAAAACAAATAATTGATTAATTGAGAAAATAATTGGCATCGATAATGAAAATAATCATTAGTTGGAGCCCTATTAATTACAACACACACCTAAAATAAAGCTAAAAGACGAAGAACACACTGGTACTACTGCATGATGCACGTGTGCAGCAGAGCTGCCGTCATTGGCTGTAATCAGTCAGAGACAAGGGAGACAGCTTTATAACTGTATGAGTCACTGCCCTGAAGAAGAGTAAGACAGTAAATATACCTGTTATGTATGTGCTTGTCCCACGCTGCTGATCTGTAACTGACCCTGACCTCTGACCTTCCTCTACAGCAGGTCAGCCAAAAAAAAAACCCATAATATAACAAAACAAAACAAAAAAAACAAAGCTGAAGTGAGAGTATACATTATTGGCTTCATTAAATCAAAGCAGGTAGCTACACATTAATTCACTCAGTGCAGCAGCAAACAGCGGATACACAGGACTTCATTAACTTGCAAGATACAACTAGCTCATTTTGCAGTTATCAGTCTCTTCCTCAACTTGTTAGTTTTACATAATTATTAGTATGTTCATATTTTACTGCCCATAATGTCAGTTGAGGCAATTATGTAAAATGAGCTTACATGTTAACAAACTGACAAACACACCAAATAGATGCATAAATCATTTGCTTCCTGATCATATGGGAATTAAGACGCTTATGTGTTTTTCAGAATTTTCCCTTGTAGCTCCACCTCACTGTGTAAAGTCATCACAGTAATTTCCATAAAATATCACTGTGTTATAGTTTTGTGACAGTTTTGTAATGTGTACATGTTGCTATAACTGTATTAGAGCTACTTAAAAAGAAAGCCTTTCCCACAATGCTGTAGCATACAACACCTAGTGGAATCTGCATCATAACAAGGTTAATATAGGTTTAAATAACTCTACCCTGTGGTATGTTCCTGTCCTGAAAATGTAACACTGCTGGCTTCAGGCGTCTGATGTTGCTGCACAAGTACAAGTCGGTTGAACCTGCCACATTATTTCTGTAGTGTTAAAAGTCCAGTGACTTTGTTCAAGGAGTGTTTAGCATCAAAATTGGGCTTGATTCAATTCTCAACTGCTGACGTAGACATATCTTTTGTCTTTAATAATAATGGAGCCACATGCCTTCATCAAGGTTGATTTACACATGACAGCATGCTGACACTTGAGCCTTCTCATGTTGTTTCAGCTGCATTCACAGTGGTGCAGTTTTTCATATCAAAAATGGCCGCACCACACAGATTTTAATATTTCAGTGAAAGCCCTCATCAAGGTGTCTGTTTACATGACAAACAGATGGAGCTAAATTAGCTTTAGAAGAAGAAATGGAAATAGAGTGGGAAGGTTTGGATTCATAACAGTGATTTTTGTTTTGCAATGAATGATGCAAATATGACGCACTACCTGACCATCCAGAGAGATCTTTTAGGAGCCTGTTGAGTATACATGTGCAACATGTGCACATGTGGCAACAGAGTTACACAAGATTTCTATAATTCAGATGTTCAAAAATGATTTAACAACAATAGCAGATAAATGTTAAGAGCTTCTGTAGGCCACAGTGACATTTTTCGTCCATGTTTTCTAAACTAATACTCAAAATATGTCTCTTCTTTTTTCCCCTTAATGCTTTTGTTTTGTATGTATATCCAGGTGAGAAGCCTCATCAGTGCAGCATCTGCTGGCGCTCGTTCTCCCTGAAGGATTACTTAATCAAACACATGGTGACACACACAGGGGTGCGGGCCTACCAGTGCAGCATCTGCAACAAGCGTTTCACCCAGAAGAGCTCTCTCAATGTCCACATGCGGCTGCACCGTGGAGAGAAGTCCTATGAGTGCTACATCTGCAAGAAGAAGTTCTCTCACAAGACCCTGCTGGAGAGGCACATGGCCCTGCACAGCACAGGCAGCGCCATCACAGGGCTGTCAGGGAGCGCAGGTACCCCGGGCCCCGTCTCCATTCCCATTCCTATGGCTGTCCCTGAGCCTGGAGCTGGAGTGGTGGCCCTCGCCATGCCAGTGAGTGGAGGTGCTGGAGTAGGGGCTGGGGTTGGAACAGGAGTGGGTGTAGCTGCAGAAGCGAGCTGCCAAGAAGGGACCACCTACGTGTGCTCCGTCTGCCCTGCCAAGTTCGACCAAATGGAGCACTTCAATGACCACATGCGAATGCATGTCTCCGATGGATAAGTACAAATAGATAAACTTCTTTCAAAAAGAATGACAAATAAAATGGCACTAGATTTTCCTTTTCTTATTTTGAGGTATGAAGAGTAATGAGTATAGACACTGGCACATTAAGTTTCCCAAAAAAAAAAAAAGATTTTTTTTTCTGTTATTCTAAAAGAAAAAAAAGATGGTGGCCTTAAGGCTTAGTAGTTTGATATTGATCTACTGGATGGATCCTAACTACAGGCCTCTAAATGTATGCTTTCCTAAAATACTGATTTATGTGTTGAACACTACCGAAAGGCCTACGAAAGAAACACATACACACAAACACACCTTTAGTGTAGATATGTCTGAATGAATATACATGTGCATTTATGTTTGGGCGTTTGGTTTGTGTATTTGCATGTGTCTGTCTGTCCGTCTGTGTGTGTGTGCGTGTGTGTATGTGTGTGTGTGAGAGTCCGTGTGTGTGAGTGTGTGTCTGTGTGTGTGTGTGTGTGTGTGTGTGTGTGTGTGTGTGTGTGTGTGTGTGTGTGTACATTGCCATGAAACAAATCATGGCAGTTGTGAACCCATACTGACCAGTTTGGAAACTATAGATGTCCAAGCTTACTGTGGTATAATTTACAACAACAATAACAAAAGAATCATCTGGGGTTGGGCTACATATTCCCTCTAAGAATACTGATGGTCACAAGATTGCCTTCTTATGTAAAATAAAAAAGGAGAGTAGTTAATTTGACACTGGGTTTTATTTATTCCTATGGTATTAAGGGATTATAATGCAGCTGTTGTCAAGGTACCAATTTCAATCATTTTACTGAAATGTAATTTGCTGTCGATGGTGACAGGGACAAATATTTCTCATATGTTTTGTAATCGTTGTCCATGCATTTTGATGGTTTACTAAATTAAGGTGTGTTGATGAGACAGTATTTGAGCAAAAATATGTTTCTTTTTTTCTGAAGTTTGGAGTTTAACTCATTTGCATACACTGCCACTAATATCTTAAAAGACTGTTAAGGCTAGTAGACCTCTTCCATTTCAAAACATAAGAAAAAAAGAAAGATTCTTTTGCTGAGGGTTTTTTTTTTAGCCTTTTACATTGACAGTTATGGCAGGCTGGAATATGCGACTAAACTCTCTCCTTCGTAACTGCTGCTCCTCAACTTGCACCTGACTGTTATGGGATGTAGATTAAAAAAAGGATTTGTCACTTAAACTATTGTTGTTATTAAGTAGCCTACATGGTTTTAATTTGATAATTGAATTATAATACTGGGGGGTTTAGGCAAGTTGTTGATTGGAAAAGTGTTAAAGAGGGGGAATTTAATTTGAATCAATCTGAATTGGAAATTAATGCCTAGAACCCCTGTATAACCTGTTCATTGCTATTGCAAAGCTATTTCAGCAGGTGGAAGCTAAATGCATTACCCGTTATGTGCCAGCTCTCCCCAAAGGCTCAAATGGCATTGCAACGTTTTGAAAGGAAATACAGTATCAAAACGAAATAAGTAGCTCCATTGATTGATACGACACTGTTTCCTGATATACCACAAGTTGCAGATGGACTTTCTAGACAATAGTATACATTCCTAATTTTTCTAAAAAACCTAGACACAGCATGTACAGAATAGATTTGGAAGCTAGTGTGCACAAGTTGTCATCCATGCATCACATCACTTAAGGCTCATTTCTGATATTTGAATTGTTTTGTATTGCTTTTTATCCAAATTAGGACACACACACACACACACATGCAACTGCCTGCAACTGCAATCTGAAGGATTTGCTCATTTATGTGAGCAAACACTTTCGTAGTTGTATTGTTAAAAGAATAACTAACTGCATACAGCGGTCTTTAAAAGACCTGCTGTACATTCAAAAAAACAAAGTGCTACTTTGCACATTTTCTTAAAATGCCTGTGCTTAATATTTAATCATTTTCCTTAAATGAACTTCTATGATTTTCTTTTATTCAATTTCAAAGGAAAAAAACATTTTTTTAAATCTTGATAAGTGGACTGCATTATTTTCTTGCATATATGTTGCACTGCTTAAACCAATAAGTGCACTACTGTTAACAGAGATATTATAGTTTTAGAAAAGAGGATTTTTTTTAATCTAACATTTGGTTGTAGAGTTCACATGTAATAGAATAGCTTTGTTTCAATTTATTCATTAAGTAATTCAGCGGTTCTTGGCTTTTGTTATTGCTTGCAGTTACCTACAGTATATACCCGTGCCGTGTTAATGCAAGCATTTATTTTTATTTAAATCTGTACCATTATATGTGCTCATCTATGTTTTAACCTTTGAATTCATTCTTTTATGGAGTCAGTTCCCTATAACAGTTCTTTCAGTTGCATTTCTTTAGACGCAGAACAGAATTTTCCTATGAGAACATCCAAGCCAAACAACTTTTAACAGTGAAACAACAGTAATAATAAACACAGCTCCCGTCCAACTCCGTTGGCGGAGGTAATAATAATAACTATTATTATATTATTAATAATAATACATTTATAATGTGTGTGTGTGTGTAACATAAATGATATGTGTGTCCTAGAACAACTTTCTGTGGGTTTAAAGGTGTGCGGAGGTGATGGAATGCAGCTTCTTTGATATCTGTCTGTCAGTTGTACACAGTTGTGTCTCTTCCTTAGTGTTTGTATGTCTGTGAGTGTCTGTGTGTGGTATATAGCCTAATCAAACTGTTGATAAGTGGAATATCTGAACTGTAGGGCTTCCTTTGCAATATGCAGCACAGGTACTATGAGAAGCAGCTCTCCAAACCTTTTGGGCTAATACGGCACCTGTAACATTTGTTGTGAGATTTGACGAAAGCCTAGGTCAAGTACTGTTGACTTTCTTGTTTGGAGAAGTTATGTCAAGCATTTTGATGCTAAATTTCAGATAATTGCTACTAGATTTCAGATCCCTGTGGAGTCAGTTTGAAGTGAAGTTGAGTGATGAACACGTGAGACCTGTATTCTGGTTTCTCCTCAGCTGAAAAAAAAAAAAACCAACAAAAAAATATTGACCACGCATGAGAAACACACTGAAAAAGCACGAGGTTAGTCCTCAGTAAAAGTAGCACATTATTTAACATTTGATTGGGCCCGTCTCTTATGGTGTGCATATAAGCCTAAATTGTATGGTTCCTGTTTGTAGCTGTTGTTGCCAGGATGGCAATATTGCTGCATGCTAGTGCTATATTTGTCTCCACACAGCACGTGGAGGGTAATCTCATGCCTTAACAGACAATGCACTAAATAGAATATGTAAGCAACTGCCGAGATCTCTTTCCAACAGTATTGCCACATGTATGGCACACAGCTCATGATGATGGTGTTTGCTGTTTGTTCAGTACCAAGTTAATCACTGCCAAACTAACATCATCACTTCCTTGAAAGCAAAGGCAGAGACATTAATTGAATTGTTTCGGTGTAATGTATGTATTCAGTAATTAGCATTCCTTCATGGCACCTAAATTTTACATATTTTGTGTAAACACATATATCAAATGCACTATTGACTGTAGCTAGATGAGTACAACCAGCTTTGTGGTATCATTGGTCTAAATAGTAGGTTAAGTAGCTCGATGTTGGTTTTTGAAATATTTGATTTCAGAATTACACTATCAATTGTTTCTCTATCATTTTCTTTTTTTTTTTCTTTTTTTTTTTTTTTTGGAATAACAAAAGTAGCCAATCTCAACGTTATCTGGATGAGGGCTAATAACTCGTCCCATCGTCAGTTGACTTATTGTATCATAAGGTGTTTAATAGCAGACCAGGCTCGGAAGGGGATGAACCTTCTCTCCAGTGTGTCATAACGTGCTATAGCATACCCAGGCTTTTTCCCTCCCCTGTTGCATTAGCATCACATGCGCTTCACTGTCCATAGTTATATATTCCTTATACTGCTTCAGCTACTTGTGGTGGTGCTTAATTCTCTTTTCTCAGTGTTGCAAAGAGTCGGTTAAAAATTGTTGAAAAGTTGCAACATTATCCAGGAATAAGTCCTTATCTCAATCGTGCTTCTTCTAGTTGTTAGTTTAAAAAAAAAAAAAAAGTCTAGACTTTATGTTTGCAAAGTGTACGCATATTTTCCAGAACAAAACATATTGAAACGTAGAAAATAGCCTTGAGCCTGCAGCTGTTTGTATTGTGTTTCAAATATATTACTGTTCATGTTTTGTTTATCTTAGTGTAGAGACACAGGGTCTACAGTACATTGTTGTCCTTCTTGCAGTATGTTTAATTCATCGTTATACTTCTTTATTTCAGACTTCCTCCTGCTTTTTTCTGGTGATCATAGTGGTGTTGTTACATAGCTTCACGCGACTGGATAAAGGATAGTCAGTTATTGAGTCATATTTCACAGTGTACTATATATATATATATATACATATATACTTTGCATTGAGATGAAAACAAGGAAATGGAAGATAGTAATGGTGAGGGTCATGTTGAGTAAGGAACAGGTTCATTTTATTCTGATAAGCATGTGTCTGTCTTCCTGTTTGTCTTTCAGTCTGTCTCCACACATTTTAAGTCAGATTTTTTTTTTTTGTTCAAGCATGAATAAAGTCACAAAGTTAAGAGTAGAATACAGAAAACTCATGAAACCATTCAGATAATACTAAAACTGCATTTTTTGTCCTTCTACAGTACACATAAGAGTGAAATAGATAGCTTCTTACAAATATACTATATATATTTAAGTATCACCATCTCCACACAGATAATAAATACATTTTCAGATAGTTTGATAAAGACATAATTGCAGCTAGAGTATACAGTACTTTGTGGGATATAGGGAATATGCCTATCAAGTGCCTATCAGTACATACAGCAACTATACAGAATATTCATAGTTTTTCTCTCCTACATTGCACAGATACAGTATATACACAATGGTCTATTAAAAATATACTATTTATACTATTACTGCTAAAACCTGGTGGTTGTGTGCATCCTAAGAGAACCCTTTAAAATACCTGAAATGTTCTATACATATACAGTAAAGGCTTCATCTGCAAGTTTTATTTTTTATCTCACATTTATACAGTTTGGAGGATTCAAAGATATAAAATGCAATCACATTTTCATGATTAAATGAATATAAATAAATAAGATATACGTTTAGTAGGATTAAGTGGTAATTGATCATTAAATACAAACTAAATTGAATGACCTTTTTTTTTTCTTTCACGTAGCTTTCTCTCGTTGATATTGTGGCATTTTTATTTTCACTTTTTGCCATTTGCAAACAAGCCATATACTATACTGTACTGTATGTCAAGGGGGGAAAGGGCAGTGCCACTTTGTGAACAGCAGAGGGAGCCACACATCAGATGGAAGAGGTGAAGTTAACACTGCCTGCCACAATAACCAAAATACACATTAAATCCTTGGATATTTTTGAATCTTGTTGT